CGCAAATGAGAGACGAAGGGCATAAAGTTTATAAAGTTTTTAATATTATTTATAAATCTCTTTCTTTCAAATTTGTATGTTATTGATATTTTAAAGACTGTACGCATTTGATGAATATTACATTGTTTAAATTTCAAATTAGGTTAGGTTTTAAATTTTAAATTAATGTTACAACAAAAAAATTATTTAAAATGGATTCATGGAAAATAAAACAACCACTGCTCTAATCTAGCTGCGTTAGCCATCTCTCTCGGATATACGGGACATCTGACCCGACAGAAATTTTTAAAGCAGACGAAAAAAGAGCAAAGAAATGGCTCGTATCTTCGGTTTAGTGCCGCCGGTATACACACCACTACCGTCACCAATCTTTTAAAAATACATAGGTTGGAATATCACTCCAGTCGAGCGTATCTTCTGAATTGCGCTTTTACCCCGATTAACACTTACACCCGCTTAATTAAAAATCGAAGGTCGTCATATTTAGGATAAAACTTTCTACGTGAGATACTTGATTGCGTCGTCGATTATAAAGATTTTTCTAAATTATAGGATAATCTTATGAAAAAAATTTGATTTACTCTATTTGAGATTAGAGAAATAATTGAATCCCCTGTAATCGGAATTTTATTCGGTTAAAAAAATGAAAATTATAATTGAATTGAAATTTTTTATGTTAATTTGAAAATTAAAATATTAAATTAAGATACTATACAATGATATGGAAAAAACGTATTATAAATAATTAAAATAAATTTAAAAAAATGTAAATATACGTAATTTTTAAGTTAGTTAGAACTTTGAATATGTACAGAAAAAATTTTTTTGCACTATTTCTGAAAGTTAAAGAATTAAAAATAATAGATTAACAATTATGTATAGCAATCTCTTAATTCAACATTTTCAAATCTAAATATATTTTTTTTATAAACCGAAAAATTTTATTGAAATTTATATTTTGAAATTCTGTTCACAAATTACTTTATATAAAGACTAAGAGAAATATTAATTTTGTTTTTCTTATAAGGTAATCCTCTTAAAAATAATCATATAAATACCTCTTTCGATTATAATGATAAAAAAATATTTTGTATAAAATGAAAAGTAAAATATACTATAAAAGACATTTTTATGCCAATATTACCATTTTTTTTTTTTGCGTAAATATAAATATATTATTACTATTTTTTTTTTTTTATATATAATAGCATTAAAATACATTCATATATTCAATACAATGATATGATTTTGAAATGACTTTTAACTTTAAAATTAAAATTAAAATTCGTTAAAAAGTTAAAATTAGCGTAAAATCTATTTTCAAATATTTTAAAATACATAATCTTTAAATGAGATAAAGAGTAAGAATTTGCAAGGGAATATAAATTAATTAATTAATATTAATATTCTAGAAAACTTGATCATTATTAAATATAAATCGCTCACTTTTTTTTTAATTATCATATTAAGTATTCAAAGTAATGAAATAAATTCTTTACATATTATGCGTTGTTTGAAATCAGTAATAAAAAATTATAATGATTCTTCGATCTTTTCAATTATTTATAACAGCATAATATATAATTATTCTTTCTTTCATGACATTATAAGTTAAAGGTTATAAATATTTTATTTTAATTTTCCCCATAAAAAAATACATTGACGTAAGCTAGTAATGTTATAATTCCATTACAATCAACGATTTGCAAATTTTTTATTTTTTTTTTTTTTTTGAAATCGTTCTCTGTTTATGCATATATTTTCGTGTATAACACGCTGCTTTATATCAATAATCCTATTACGACAGATTTTTATATAATTTTTAAATTTTTATGATGTAATGGTTAATTACGCTCAGAATAAATTTGTTTTATAAATTTAAATCACTTCTCTTGGATACTTTCATCGTAAATAAAAATAATATAAATTTTTTTCCTTCGAGTGAATTGGTTATGGATAATTTACTATTGACAAATTGTTTGATCGATCGAATTTTTTAGAAACATTTATGAATTAACATATGTTTACATTTACATTTAGATTCTTTGCTAAGATATAATATAATTTGATGAAAATAAATTATATTTTAATTTTGAAATCGAAGATTATTTGAAGATTATTATTAGAAATCATCAATGCATTTTATTCAGTTACTATAAAAAGAAAAAAATATAATTTTTATATATAAAAAAAACATCGATGATTTTAAAACATATAACAGAAAATTAGTTTTTAACAGAAAAAAAAAATTAGTTTTTAACAGAAAATTCTTATAATATATGATATAAATTGCATACAAAATGTTGTTTATTCTATCATCACAATCGAGAGAAGTATTTTAATTATTTTAAAAAAAGATAGAAATTGTTGCTAAAAAAATCTAATACTTTTTTTCTGTCATTCGTCCATGACCTTGGACTTTCAGTATCGATTACATATCTAGTTGATTCTGTAAATTGTTTGATCCTCCAGCAACATCTGTAACGAGGAGTGCCACTAATATATATGCATAGTTCTACAAACTGACACAAATCGAACCGATCTAAAGTTTTCTGTTTACTCATTTCTCTATTTCCTTGCGTTGTTTATGTATTTGACATATTCCATTTCAGGAAATTACCAAAATCATAAATCCATTTAACGTACAACATACAAAGTTTTTCGATAATATCAATAATATTATTCCTATTAATGTCACAATAAAATTGAATTTTATTTTTTTTTTTTTTCATTCTCAATATTTGATATTTTTTATTCAAACGATTACAAAGTTAATATTATGAAATAAAATAAATATTTTTCAGATGTTTTCGCAAAAATAACTCTTGATATATTCATTACTTTGATATATATTCACTATATTTTTAAAATGTTATCTAATAGGCAAAAAGTTTATTTGAAAAATATTATTTAAAAAAAAAGCATAAACTTGCTATAATTTTAATCAAGCTGGTAAGTACAGTATACAAAATTATTCAACTTCCCATTCTCTAGCCAAATGTGCTCATCAAAATTACATGATCGAATTTTACGTTATTCTCCAACGATCTCTTGTTTAATATTCGAATCGATACATTCCATATTTACGTGAGCTTTTAGCGGTTCTCCTATCCGTAAGCCGAGAAAGAGGAGCTACACGTTTGTAAGTGTGAGCAAAACGAAAGAAATATACTATTCCACAAACTTATCGAACGTTAAAGATATATATATATATATATACTCACATATATGTATATATGTGCGTATAAACCTGAAAGAAATTTGATCGAACTACACTATTTTCGTTTAACTTTTTAAAAATTGAAGTAAATAAAAAAAGTCAAGCGATTTCATACTTATCAGTTTCCAAATGATAAATTCCGGAAAAACATTTTTGGAAGTAATAATAGATATGTACACATGGATTAATGCAATGTAATTAATGTAATATGCAAATATAATAAGACCATGATTATATATATATTTTATGATGATTAGAAATTAGAATTAGAAATTTCATTATTTGAAAAATAATTATAATTACCACATATACGATTTGTTAAATATCCTTATTTTTGGAGGACAAATATATCTCTGAATATATTATCATAAATAATATATTCAAATAAGTTAAATATTTTTCTTTTACGAAAAAAAAAAAAGAATAATTTATGATAAGTATGCATTATGTTAGATAAATATATATAATATAAATATATATTATCAAAGACGTCTCTAATTAATGTAAAGATGCTGATTAATCTTGAATATTTCAAGATATTTCAAGATTCTAATTCTCATATTCAATTATTCGCATAAATTTGTATTGATAAAACTAATGATGAAAAAGACTAATAATTTTAATTTCAATATTTTTTTAAAATAAAAAAAAATTAAAACATTTACCAGATTCATTTAAAAACATTTCATTAAAAATTATACGCATTGTTTTTTTTAGTATAATATTATAATCGCATTTGTAATGATAATACGAAACAATTAAATAATCTTACCGAATAATTTTTCTTGATCTTTTCGTAAGTAAATAAGTCAAACTTTGGGGTAGTATCCCAGCTGTATGGGCGACGCGTTAAAAAACATAATGGTACCCTTAAATTGCCTACCATTCTTTCGTTTCTGTAATCAATTAAAATTAATTTACGATTATTTCGAATAAATTTATGATAAAAATCTAATACACTATAAAATATGATTATTAATAACCTGTTATGAAATTTCAATGACAAAATGTCAATTTGGATGTTATATGAACATACACAATGATTGTTTATTTTTCATTTGTCATCGTATATCTTTTGAACGTGCTCTCATTGTATATGTGTTTGAAATTCTTATACAGATGGCTGTAGAATAGTTAAATAACATATACTAAGAAATATGATTAAATTTTTACGATGTTTCAAGCATTGGATAACAACATATAATATAAAAAAAAAAAAAAATATCATTCAAGTAAATATCAAATATAAAAAATTTAAAAAAATATAGTGTGCCATTTTAGGATTAATATTGAAATGTTTATAATTGCCAAAATTATAATTCAAGTGTCAAGAAATGAAAAGAATTGAATGAGAATGAAATATGAAAAATTGTAAAAATAATAAGCATTTTCCTTGTTTTACAATTGTATATCTTTATATATATATAACCAAAGTTGTACAACTTTGATTATCTTTTACGCAAATAAAAACTAGAAAATTAATGATATGCATAATGAATTAATGTATATGCATAACAATATTTTTTGCAATACTATCTTATTAAAATTTTTAAATTCAATCTTTTATAATACGCATATGGAAAATAACAAACAACAAAATCATTCTTATCTTTTAGTTTTATGTATATAATAATTAATAAAGAAATATTTATTGGATGGATAAACTAACAAATATTATATATTTTCATTAAAACCAACTTCAACATCTTTAATTGATTGTGATAACTATCGAAAAATCCGCATATCCGTTGTGATTGAAAGTGAAGAAAGAAGAATATTTTTTCTGAAGATGAAACAAAAGATTAATGAAGAAAGAAAAATTTAAGAAAAAAAAATAGATTGGTTTTGTTTATTTATTTTTACAATTACTTTCTGTCAAGGTGAAAATGAACATAAATTAATCGAAAGAAAAATTGATCAAAATAGAAAGAGAATCTTAACACTCGTACTCATAACACAGTACAAATAAATTCACGTGTCGTACATGCTAATGAATATCTAGATACTTCTGATTGCCAATAGAAGAATTGTCACATCAATTTGTTGGAAGTGGTTGAAAATTGTTGGCAACCGTTTTAATATAGATTGAGACTTGCGCTAACGAATTCGTAAAATTATTGTCGTGGATTGTCGAGAGAAGGGAGAGACTGTGTTTGGGGAGAAGGTGAAAGTGAAAATCGTTCACGAACATAACCTAAGAATAAGCTGTATGTACAGCTATCACAGATTTTATGGAATTTACGGAGATGCGATATCGTTTTTGAAAAATTCTTTGACATGATCTTTTCAATGTGTTGTCTTCTTGATGAATAACCTATTAAAAACGAAGGTAAGAACGAGAAAATATGGAGGCTTGCAACGAAGTAGGCGACCGGACTCCAACTGACATCGCGGTAATGCAAAGAAGTTGGTCAGAATTGAGAGGTGTTGTCAGTGATCTACGTAGAAAATTGTCCGGAGTATCAGTAGGCTCTGTTCCTGGATCTATAACATTTCGATCTTTACCAGATGGACGGTAAGAAATGCTTCTAAAATAGTAACATAACCTTTACAATTAAAATCTATTTTTTTATAATTTTTTCTTTTTTTAGGACTAGAATATATTTTCTTAGTAGTCCAAGTAATGGATGGGAAACTACTTTACTATTTGTGGATATTGCACATTCAGATCATGCAAATGGTTATCGTCTTCATTGGCAACCAATTATAGAAGCAAATTTTCAAACGTAATACAACTTTTTCCAGAAGAAAATAAACCATTTATTTTTTAAAGATAATAGGATAACAATGCAAAGATTTATTTGTAGTGTATCAAGTACCAAAAGATTATCGAGAGAAGAACAATTATTATGGGAAAGAAAAAGATTAGCCACATGGGGTATTACTAGTTATGAGATTCATCTAGATAGTGGAAAATTGGTTTTTCCAGCTGCAAGCAGTCTTTATCAATGTATAGATACAGGATTTATGGTACTTTTCTTTTTTATTATTATTATTCTTTTTATATATAATTAAGATATTGAAATAATAAATATATTTGTATATTAGGCTGGACCTCTATTTCCATCTGAAATTCGTATGTCAACATCAGGTGCTAAATTATGTCCACAAATTTGCCCATGGAATAATGCATTAATTGCTCATACATGTTCGGGTGATTTGTATTTGTCTCATAGTATCACAGGTTCTTCTGTAAGATTAACACATGCAAGAAAAGGTGGTAAGAGTTTAGTAAATGACCCTCTTACTGCAGGAACTCCTTCTTATGTAATGCAAGAAGAATTTACTAGGTTTGTAATATAATAATAACATATATATTTATATATATAGTTCTCATAATATAATATTTTTATTCAGATATATTGGATATTGGTGGCAACCAAAATCTAATGATGGCATATATAGAATAGTGTATGAAGAAATTGATGAGAGTGATGTGAAGATATTTTGTTTTCCATCAACATCAAATTCTGAAGATATAGATGAATTTAGGTTTCCAAGAGCTGGTACTCCTAATGCAAAAAGTAATCTTAAAATGGTGCAATTTCGTTTAACAGAAACATTACAAATTGTTGACATTGAAATATTAGAACTTCAATATCCATTGCATATTATGTTCCCATGGATGGAATACATGGTAAGAGTGGGATGGACTCCTGATGCACAATAGTAAGTCAGAAATGTTCTGAATTAGCTGTGCATGTTTCAATGTTTACTTCTATAATATAGTTTTATACGAATATAGCATTTGGGTCCAGTTGTTGGATAGAAAGCAACAAAGACTTGAGTTAGTTTTATTATCGATAGATAATTTTTGTGAACCACCGCCTAATGTATACAATTCAGAAAATCATTTCACACCGTCATCGGCGAGTGTTCAAGTTATATATTCTGAACAAAGTTCAATTTGGATCAATGTTAATGATCTCCTTTATTTTTTACCGTCCGACGATCCAACAGAAGTTAAATTTCTTTGGGGCAGTGAAGAATCTGATTTTAGACATTTATATCTCATTACATCTAGCATAGCTGGTAAAATAACAAATAATCTTAATGATTTTTAATTATAATATGTTAACAAAATTAAATAGTAATTTAAATATTAATTTTTATTTTTCTATCCTTTTTCATAGGTTTAAATAACGAAGTAGAAGAACCATTGGATAAAATGGATAGTATTTTTTTGCAACCTCGAGTTACTTCTAAAATCGCTTTGACTCAAGGAGATTGGGAAGTCTTGGGTAAAAAACTGTGGGTAGATGAACTTAATTCTATTGTTTATTTTTGTGGTTTACGTGAGGGTCCACTAGAACAACATGTTTATGCTGTGTCACTTCGTCGCCCACTAGAAATAAGATTACTCACTAGACCGGGTTACAGTCACAATAGTATATATTTTAATAAGGAATGTACAATGCTCGTGACTGTTTATAGTTCCATCAAAACATTACCAACATGTCAAGTACGATTTTTTTAAAAGAATAAATATTAAAAAATTTTTATGGTAATTAATATTTTTTTTTAGGTTTTTAAAATATCACAATCAGATTGGACAGTGGAAAGTATTTCTTTAACTCCTGTAGGTTATTTATTAGAACCATCTCCTCTTGAATCCGAATTATTTGCTCCAGAAATTTATACATATAAAATATCATCTAATGAGACTCTTTATTCAATGATTTTTAAACCACACAATTTTCAAGTTGGGATAAAATATCCTACGATATTGAATGTGTATGGTGGTCCTGAAGTACAATTAGTATCAAATACATTTAAAGTAAATATTTTGAGAAAAATAAATATAGGAAATATAAAATTTTGATTGCTTATCATAATTTAAATTTATTATATATTTCAGGGAATGAGACATTTAAGAATGCATATGTTAGCTGCTCAAGGTTATTGTGTAGTATTAATCGATTCTCGGGGTTCACATCATAGAGGTTTAGTATTTGAAAGTCATTTACAACACCGAATGGGAACTGTTGAATTAGACGATCAAGTTCAAGTGCTAAAATGGTTAGCAGAAACTACTGGTTATATTGATTTAAGTCGCGTAGCTATTCATGGTTGGTCTTATGGAGGATATTTAAGTCTTATGGGTTTAATACAATATCCAGAAATATTTAAGGTATTTTTTCTTTTTTAAAAATTTAATTGAATTTAATTTAATTATTTGTATCTAAACATATTTTTATTTATAAATTTAAATTGTTTATTTAATAACAAATTTCAATTGATATTTTTTTATTTCAATTTTTGTGTTTGTTTTGATCTTTAAAATCAATCATTTAAAAATAACATAATATATTAATATTCTATTTATGTACAAAAATCGAAACATATAATTTTCAGTTAGCTATTGCTGGTGCACCAGTTACTTCTTGGAATTTTTATGATACTGGATATACCGAACGTTATATGGATTTACCACAAAGTAATCCTCATGGATATATGTCTGGTTCAGTTTTGACATATGTGGATAAGTTTCCCGATGAAGAAAATAGATTATTGATTATTCATGGGCTTATAGATGAAAACGTACATTTTTTCCACACAAGTCAATTGATCAATGCTCTTGTAAAATCTGGGAAACCATATCAATTACAAGTTTACCCCAATGAAAGACACAGTCTCAGAAGTCTAGATGCTAGTAAACATTATGAAACTACATTACTGTCATTCTTACAAAATCATTTATAAATTATTTTTATTCAAGAAAATAATTCCAGTAATAAGTGCTGGTTAAAATATTTTAACAATTTAAGTGACTGCCATTACTTTTATGTATATAGATTAAACAAATTAAAAATTAATTTCAATATCCTTATATTCGCGATGGTATTGCCTTATATAAATTTTACGTTCGTATAAAGACTCCATTAAACAGTATTATAATTTTACTACGAGAAGGTTATAATAAAAAATAATTAAAAATTTTACACATCCATAAAAAATAGTATTTTTTTCTGTTTATAGAAATACAAAAAAAAAAGTTTGTAAAAATTAATATCTATAACATTTGGGCATACAGCCATCGCGAAATTTTTTTTTTGCAACTTCTTTAATAAGTGATTGTAAAATTTTAAAAACGATTAAAATTGTAAAATTTATTTTTACTTTTTCAAGAAAATGGACAATACTCGCAATTCTCTGTACATATATACATAAGGATCGTTAGATCTATATTAATTTTTCTAGAATTTTCTTCTAATTGTACTTACATGATATTCATAGTTATCGCCAGAAATATGTCTATCTCGTGACTATCACCATTTTATGCTTAATTGTATATATATAAACAAACACTCTCTCCCAGATTTTTACAATAAGCATTGCAAGAATTTGAGCGAGAAGAGTACATTATTCCGTATTTGCAAATAAATCATATATAACATAAATTGTTTGTCAATAAATAAATTCGTTATTTTATATTTTGTTACAATGTGTATCATTATTATCCAAGGATTTTAATGTTATTAAATAAATAAGAATAGAATACTTGTTTTGTTACAATTATATTTTCTTACAAATCATTTACATGTACGTTATTGTGAACTACTGTAAGTTTTAGTTTTTTTATTTAAGAATTTATACAAATACTTTAGTCTTTTTTTCAATTCTTTCCATTTAGTTGGTCTTGCTATTGGATATATACCATGTTTTAGCATTTTCTGTTTTCTAATTAATATTTGATATTCATTTCCACTTACACCTCTTAGCCAAGAAGGTACATTATATAAAATTTTAGCTGGATGGAGAGTATTAGAACCCAAAATATCTATATAATCATTCTGACCAAACAATGCTCTCTTTTCAGACCAAGCATTCTTTGGTCTATATATTGGCATGGGTAATTTTTTATCATCAGCATGAGGTAACAATCCTTTCATATTTATAGGATCATTATAGCCATAACGTCTTAAGTAAGGACCCTTAGCTATTTTGTCTGCATGATATCGAAATCTTTTAGGTATCACTTGAGGTACCCATGTATTCATAGTTGTATGCATTGTTTTCAAAAACCATGACATGCTAAATTTTTATAATTAATCTTATTAATATATGATAAATGTGTCTTTTTTTTAGAATATTATTTCATATGTATATACATAATTTGTAATAATTAAATTTTTGTATTGAAATTTATATTATTTAAATTACAAAAATAAATGTAATATTAAATTCTTTCAATAAATATTTTTCTTATAAATAAAACTAAATTTTCTAATTATTTATATTATATATTATGAATAGCTAACATAACCTTATTTTCTACATGTTAAATATAATTTTATAAATTTCATATTTTCATACAATAAAATTTACCTTAAACAATATATAAATTGTACGGATGTAAAGTAATATTATTTCAATTTGTTATATGAAATCTTTATCGTATAATAAATTACAGTTTATATTACTTTGTTTTCTATAACCTCAGCAAACTTATGATAAGAATTGAACTTAGATATATAATATTTACTTATATAGTATTATATATATCTAGTATTATAAGAATGTTATAAGTATATATTTAATTAATAATTTATTGCAATTTTAAATAAAAATAAAATATCTAATATTTTTGACAAATTGTTACGCGTTAAAAAATAAAAGAAAAAACTATATTATTGTACTATCCTCATTCGTTTAATTAATCATTTTGAGATTAATTTAAAAATTGAAATATAGAATATATTGATATTAATTTTTAATTATTTTATTATTATTTAATTATTACATAAGATATTATTTAATATTAAAATTTAAATAATAACGAATAAAAAACAAATTAAAGCAAAGAAAAATTAATTGTGCTCTAAAATTTATGGAACCATAAAAAAAATATTATTTGATCGAACAATTAATATTATATTAATAAATATGTAAGAATAATTAGAAATAAATTTGTTGGGAAATAAATAAAAGATTAAAATTAAATAAATCATAAATTGTATCACATTATGCATATAAATTATATATAAATTTGTATTATGCACCGTGTATGATAAATTAATTGAATCGTATGTATTCATAATATTCATTTATATAATATCATTTATAAATTTTTATATATATTTATACGCATATAAACTAAATATTTTCACGCTTTAATGATCCATATTTTATCGCTTTACTATTTGTAAAATTGAAAATTATTTTTTTCTATAGAAATAAAAATTGTTTATTTTAATACAATACTTTTAATTTTAAACTTCACATATAATGTTAATGTTAAAAAGAATATGCAATAATTTAATTTGCTAAATCGAAAAATTCTAATTAAAAAATTAATAAGGTTTATTGAAAAAAAATAAAATTTATTTGATAATTTATATTAAAAGTAGTATAGGTATTACAAGAATTTCAAGAACAGTAATGATAGAACCTAAAAAAAAGAAAAAAGAAATTACCGAAGAAATTCATTGATTTATATTGCAATATACAATTAATTCTTATTAACCTTTGCTACAAGTCCCTTCTTTGCAAACACATTCATTCTTTTTACATTCAAGAATATTAAAAGTATCATATCCCTTACATTCGTAATCCTTCGTACACGTATGATATAAATCTGAAAAAAATATGCGACAATTTATTGAGTTTTTAATACATTTGTAGATTATTCGAAATTGAAAACTGCATTTATTAATTATCCTTACATCGTGTTTGAACACATTTCCCAGTTTCATTCACAAAATGGTATGATGAAATGCATTCGCAACGTTCATTAATGCACATGGCACGACCAAACATATCTTGACATTCATCTGTCCTTTGACAGCGATCACCCACTATCAATGGTCCTAAACATTCATATAAATAATCAATACTTGTACATGTATATATAAATTAATAAAAAATGTAAGATATTTTTTAAGCATATTGATTACTTACTATTGACACAATTTGAAGAATTATTTATATCTAAGATATACGAATCTTTGCAAGCACATACTCCTTGTCTACACGCTGCATTTGCCATCGTACTACATGCAAAATCATTTGTGCAACTTAATCCAGCACCTATCATTCCAAATCAAAAAATAAATTTAATTATTAAAATAATATATATATACATATATGTAATAATATTACATTACTACATATATATGTAGTAATTTATTATTAATTGTAATAATTGTAGTAATTTATCAACTAATAATAATTTATACTAATAAAAAAACTACTGCAAAAAAATAAACAAAGTTAATAAACAAATTATACACAATAAGCATAAGTATAACAATATGTCATAAAATAATGTTTATTATTATTTGATAATAGATAGAATTAAATAAAAATAATAAAAAAAAATATTAATATTAGTAAATTGTAAATTATAAATTATAGATTTATCTTAATTTTATAATTTACTTATAAAGCTTCACTTTTTTCATTAACAATGATTTTATTGTTATATATTGTTAGATAAGAAAATTCATTTATGATGTATTTATGATATATAAAATTTTTTTAACTTTTTTTAACTTGGCAAAATAATATTCAATTATGTAAGGATTCCGATTAAAAATGCTTAAATTAATTAATAGCGAAATAGTACTCACTAGCGATGCACATCGAATTATCTAAAGTTGGGGAAAAATATTGTTCGCACAGGCATGTCTTTTGCGCACGGCAATACGAATTTGGAATGCAATTACGATCTCTCTCGCATTTCTCACCGATTTTCACATTTCCGTATTCCAATGTGTCCTCTAAAAACAAGGAAAAAATAAAAAATAAAATATAGAGCAAAAAACGATTCAATTCGATTATGCCTCTTGACTGATTTTGAATCTATGAACACTCTGAAAAATATCGATGATACTTTGATACTTGCGATACTCACGTTCTAAGCCCAAAAGTAATTGGAAGCTCGCAAAAAGTAAGAAAAATTTGAAAATTTGATCGTTCATTTCTATTATTCGTACTGAATAAGAAACTGTATTATATTAAAAAGCTCGCAATAAACGCCCTTCTTATGGTGATAATCGTTATCTTTTCACTTATCTATGATATATCTATCTAACCGAATGAATCAGAGATAGGAACAAACTAAACTGTTCTTATATTTCATTATATTTTTATTTCTTTATATTTATTTTATTCTTTATATTTCATTTTTTTCATTAAAATGAAAGATAGGAAAAATAGAAAAAGATCGCTTACCGATTCAAATGCTGAAGTTACGAGTAGATGCGATCGGAGCGGTGTCGGTAGTAACTGGAAAGAAAATCAGGTTGGTGGGAGAATATGGTTAATTGCAGTTCTACACGGCTTCGCGTTCGTCAGTCGTGTGCTATTGATGCTCGATTGCGAACCGATACTTCTGTTTGCAAGTGAATCTCTATTATACTAGAATTTCAATGATGTTTTATCTCGGATATATGAAGAAACATATGTTGCTTCTTGTGATCGTTTCTATGATTCATCGATCGGTAACTGATCAATTGGGTAAGCTTTGATTTTACATTTAAAAATTTTATTTTGAATTTGAAATTCAAATAATTATTGAAATTATTATTGAATTAATGAAATATTTAAATTATTTTAACATTTTTCTATATAATATAAATATTCAAATGTATACGTTTACTTTGAATATCTTATTATAATAACATTATTTTTATATTATATGAATATGCATAAAGTTATTATCCTTTTTTTTTTTAAATATCTTTTAATTGTCAATATTATCTTATAATTATAATAATATTGATATGCATGTAAACAATATTAACAATTAAAATTATAATTATATATTTTATCTTCGAGTTACATTGGTTCTTAAATTTGTTTCTTTTTATATTTAATGTATTATTTTTATTTTTATTTATTTATTTTGAAATGATTAATTTATTTTTAAATTATTTAATTTATCGGCGTAATTAATGATGTACTTTAGAATCTTTATTATAGAATCTTAGAATCTTTATTAGAATCTTTATTATTTATATAAAATTGTTATAAATATAATTTATATAACTTATATATACTTATAAATATATATAAAAATAATATATTTTATTTATAAATATATATAAATATTTAAAAATATAAATAAATTTTTTAGAATTTTTTTTTTATAATGTAGATATATGAAAGACTCACCAAATTAAACAATTCTAATCGGAATAATGTATCATTGCATAGTTAAAAACATGAAATGATTAATTTTTATGATCTAAATATATTTCATTTAAAAATAACATTTTAACTGAAATTTATTTGCACGTTCATAACTGTCAATATAACTTTAATCTGTATTAATGTTATTCAACACTGTAATGTTCTTCCATCGAACAAATTATTCGTTGACAATATACCTCATAATTAATTTGCAATTAATTCGTACAGTAGTAGTTATATTATTACCAGTATTGTATAAATAAAATATGTTATATTCTTGAATTCTTCTATGATTACGCGCATTATTTTATGAATGTTATAATGCTCACTTTTGCAGTGAATCAAGCAGTAATCATGAACATTATGAGAGATACGCGAGACACAATGCTCTTGAAATATAATTAAACAAGCATCAACTGATGAAAATTAATTTAAGCAAGATTCGTATCCTTCATTCTTGCAAAGTACATACAACATTTTAAATATCTTTTCAAAAGATTTTATTTTGTATAATATATTTTTATCCGTATTAGTTATTTTTAAAACATTACATCAATGAAAAAACTTCGAGAAACTGAAAGTCCAGTAAAATTTAATAAATTGATTTAACGTCACTTCGTTCGAAGTAACCGACATGTCAATATGATGCTATTGCTTCAGAAGAATATATACATTTCTGTTCTCATTGCTTGTATACAAACGTTGGTAGGCTACGCTTCAAAATAAAATCGACCTCTTCACGATATTGAAGCAGTGTCAATCGAATGATAATTCTTAAAAATGTTCATTGCAAAAGCGAATTTTATTGTAATCTCAATTTCTTAATATTTATTAAGAATATTTTTTTTTGTATTTTAGCCTTATTATATTTTCTTATTATTTTAATTTTTTTTTGATAAATAAAAAGTTTTTAATTAATATATAATGATATATTAATTATAATTGTTTAATGTTATTCTCAATGGAAAGTCATAATTGTGTTGACTTAAATGTAACAGGATTAGAAAATACAAAAAAAAAAAAAATTAAACATTGTTCTATATTTCATTTTTATGTGAAATTCTATACATTTATTTGTTAAGATATACTTTAATAATAATAATATTTAATAATAAAACTTTAATAATATTTTATTCGTTTAATCGACATCGAAAATTGAACAATCTTCTAATTACAATTATATGATTAATTTAACTTTTTTATCATAATGAATATTTATATTGATCAACATATACATATTCTTTATTAAATTCGAATTTACAATCAGATTTTATATAATTGATTTTATTATTTAATATTTATTAAGTAATTATTAAATAATTATATTTTTGTCAAAGTAATATAGATACAACATAGGATAAATTTAATTTATATTTAATGTATTATATTAATAATGTATTATATTTGAATGAAATGTATTATATAGTTAAATAATATATTTCAAGAAATCAATGTTATGCTTCGAGATAATTTGATATACTTTAGATAAACTTAAATAACAATACAGCATGTTATATTTATAACCACTCATGAGAATGAATCGTATGATGATGGTCACACGATATAGGAATTCAAAACTAAAATCGATAATAAGATTACTCCATGTAGCTTTCGAAGATTTGCGAAGCTTTTTTTTCTTTTGATCTAAGGATAATAAAACTGATGATTGATTTTATTAAAAAAAAGATTTTTAAAGTTGCGAGTTTGTTAAAAGTTTTCAGATTTTCATCCTTACTTTAATAATATTTAAACGAATAAACAATTATTAGAAAATAATCATTTTTTTTATAATTATATTATTATAATTATATTATAATTATATTATATTATATTTTTTTTATAAGTATGGGATTATATTATACAAATTAATGATAAATATTCAATTGTATAATTAAAATAAATTTATTATATAGTTTAATTCAATATGAATAGAAATATAATATTATATGATAAAAATTAAACAACATTTTATAAATTAATATTATCGAAGTTCAAAGAAACTAGAAACAATTTTTTTCTTACAGATCCACCAATCCCTTGTAAAGAAGATCATAATTGCATTGAATTCTCAAATAGTTTAAAAAATGCATTTTGTCATAATGGACATTGCGTATGTAAGACGGATAAAGAAATTAAAAACTGTTCCAGTGCGGATATCTTACATAATAGAAATCGAAGCGCAGGTACAATTATATTTTCTTTTTTTCTTTTTTTTTTTTTTTAATATATATTGAATATTTGTATGTAATTAAATATATTGAATTCATATGATTGCATTAGATGTAAAAGAAATTTTAATGCTAAAATTAAAGAGAAAAAAAATACTTAAATTATTTAATTTTAAATAGATAAATTTTTTTTAATACTTGACATAATTTTTTAATATTTTTCTTATTTTTTTAATATTTTATACTTATTTTATTTTTTTATATTTATATAAAAAATTTAGAGGAAAATATATAAATCATTTATAAAGAAAAAAATGATGAAAATTTCTGAAATTCCTTAATAAAAATAGTTATTTATTTCACATTTGACAAATTATTTTTTGGTATAAATAAACAAATAATAAAATAAATTTTGGATATGTTTAATTTTCTATAGTATTAAAAAATATAAATATATAAAATATTATAAAATATTAAATTATATTTATAATTTTTATATTATATTATAAAAGTTTCTTCAAATTTTTTCAATAAATTTTGTTATATATTTGAAGTATTCAAAAATATATATTTACAGTTATTATAATAATAATTTTTATGAAGTTTTTAATTATTTATAGATATGAATAATAAAAATATATTATCCTGCTTTGACATATATGTTAAAGTAGTATGAAACTATATCATTTCATTGAATGATCCATTATTTCAAAAAAATAATTATGAATTTAACATATTATATGTAAAAATTTAATAAATTGATGTTCATTCTTGATGAAAATATTATATTTATGACTTTGTATTATATATATATATTATACAAAATTATATACTAGTCATTAATATTTATTACATATAATATTTCAATCTAATAATTAAATATTTCTCTTAGTTTCAATATTTTTCATATTGAAGTTTCAAAATTTATCAAAATTTAACATATAGTAATATAATTTCGACAGTTCTGAAATTGTCCTTCTATTCAATGTATAATTTACACATTAGATGAATTTCCTAGAATACTAATACATTTTTTTTAGGAGCTCCGATTTTTCAGATTTGCAAAATCGATAAAGATTGTACAATTAATAACTCTTTTTGCAACACGACGATAATGCAATGCGAATGCCAAAAAAATTATATTTTATCAAGTAACAAGAAAATATGCCTTAAAAGTAAGAATAAATTTCATTCATCAATATGATTTTAATTTTGATATTGAATCTTCGATCATTGATTTATTTTTTCATTTAGAGGTCGAAGGATTGGATTTTCCTTGTATAGAGAGTAGACAATGCTTAACATTCCTACCAAATACGACATGTCAAAATAACCAATGTAGTTGTATATCTGGATATCATTATGTGCAAAATGCTTGTTACGAAATGATTGGTAAGACAAAACTCTTTTTTCGATTCGAGAAAATATTAATTAAAAATTAGATTAAAAATAATTGTATAATCTACGTAATTGCAAAATATTCACAGATATTGGAAAACCATGTCGCCAATCGGAAGAATGTATTCACGTTAACGGTGCTGCATGCACTAATAGAGGAGTGTGTGATTGTATAAAAGAAACTGTGATCAATGAAAATCGACAAAAATGTTTACCGGTTGCGAGGGATATCTTGGATATTTGCGTGGAAGATATACAATGCAGTAAAACTTTCTCTGATTCACTATGCATTGATGGATTGTGTCGATGTCAAA